TGTATATATGTGTGTGTGTGTGTGTTTAAGCATCATTAATCAGTGCCTACTTATTCTTCCCTCACAAACTCACTATTTACCAATTAGGTTGTGTCATGTTTCAGAATCACAAGAGATATTTGACTTTTTCTTTTACTTTTCTCGAACATCAACAAAAGTTAACCCACAGAAGATCATAATTTATAGACAGCACATACATCATAAATGATGCAGAGGCCTATTTGCAAAAATGACCATATCAGGTCTATTCTCCAGCCAGGTTAAAAAAGTCGTCCTCGGACCAGATTCTGTTTTTTTTTTTTACTATGCATTTTATGATGACATGTAGCAAACAAGACCTTGTTTGCTATCTTGGCTTTTTTGGTCATGGCCCAGTTACACCATTTTTTGTTTTGTTTCCATTTTTGTTTTCATCGGCTAAAGATCTGAGCGGTCATCTGCTGCAGATTTAGCTCCATTGATAAAATTGAATACATCTATTTAACAAAACCTTAAACTTTGAAACCTTGTTGGTCTCAAGAGCCATAAACCTGCAAATTTATCTCCTCTGCTTTTTGATTAAATATCCTATGTTGAAAGGAGGTAGGTGGTATGGCCAGTAAATGTATGGCATCTAAACATATGCTAAAATTTGTTCATGTGCTGATTGAAAATCTGTAACACAGCTAAGTATGACCTAGAGCTGCACCTTAGATCAGGTAAAACAAAAGGTCTTAAACTAAAAGTAAACAGAGCCAGGATTAAAACCCTAAGTGTTGAATGAGCACTGTGAGCCTGTCGTTACTCATCAGTGAGTTAACCTCACAGGACTTGACCAGGCTGCAGAACCAGTTCCACACAAAGAAACCCTGTGATTAGAGGTTGACTAACTGGTTGTTAAGCACTGACTGATATGACAGCACCACTATGGATGAATACAGGTAGCAATGCCTTGAACTAAACATGTTCGTCTTAGACCATGAATCAGACTAAAGTTACAACTGGTGTTTTTCCCTGTTTTTTTTTTTCTTTTAATTGTAACGTTCAACAGCGGTTTGACGTCAATCCAACAACATAAACGTTTACTGAATATGTTCCTGTAGCAGTCTGTTTTAAAAGGGATTAAGGATATGTTAACAGGAGCCAAAGTGTCACTAATTGATCAGGTGGACATTTAAATCTCCTGTAATCCGTTTTCTAAACCTTATTTTCCTCACCATAGTTATATCATAATTTACATTGGGTGTAGACTCTCAAGTCTCTCATGACCTCCTTGTAAAAGGTATTTTGTGTGAGTTTCAGCTCTGCCAGCCCCAGCATGCTCTCTGTTGATTGTAGGTGGTGCAAAAAAAAAAACAGGCCCTCTCTTTACAAATTCATGTTTCAGTGGAAGTGAAACCGGCTGCGAAAGCTTTCATTCCACTCACTCAAGTCCCTCATTCTGTAGTTTCTCCTTTTTTTTCCCTCCCCTCTTCTGTGCCCCTCCTCACTCTTCCTTTCTATTTTTTTTTTTGTTTCTAACTTGCAGGCACACCAGGCTTTTCAGCTTGATAGACAGTCTCTGGCCCCCAGCGACGTCTCTAAAAGATCATGGAATCTCACTTAGTATGCCAAATGTAAGTTCTCATTGTAGTAATAATAGTTTAATCCCCTGAGAAACTGCTATTCATCACCTTTCATCCACGATTGATGTGCAAATATATTTTAATGGGAGTGTCTATAAAGGCAAAACTTTTTGTCTTTATCATTATTGTGTAGAAGTATACACAGATGACAATGCAATTACTATATTTCTTTAGTACAACAGAAAAATATGCAATCAGCTTTGATCTGAATTTACCAAGATCATATATATTAACAAAGGTTCTTTATTTTGAGAATACAACAATGAGAATAGGGTGTATAAAATTAACATAGCATGGTAATAAATTAGCAATACTATCACCAAGTCACAGGCTGATACCAACTTTAATAGGATTAAATGAATCGCATGTATAAGGCGAAAGCAGATATTTGGATTCAGTAAATAAAGAGCACATGCTGTTGCTGCCTAACATTAGATAAATAAGTAAACTTGTTTGTTTTAGGAAAGTTTGGATTATTTAGATATTATTTTTGTCAAAGTAAAAATAGTGACAGAAAATTGTTACTTCCTAAGAGGTTGACATGTACTTTTCTAAATAATTTGCTAAATCCCTCTCTGCCACAGACTGTGGTTGTTGGTGTTTTATTTAGAATTTTTGTGCAGTTTCTCAAAGAGGTAGCTGATGGTTTTCCTGCAGGAGAAGCTCACATTGGCACACCAGAAAGAAGTATCACAGCAGCACATTAACACTAACACAGAGGCTACTGCCCTTTTAACGTCTGATGTTTAATATGATATAGATTTTGTATCAAAGCGAATTTTTTTGTATGTTTGCTTTTTACTCTAGCTAAAGTAAACATCAGTGTGGAAAAACAGTTTTTTTACTCTTTGCGAATAAAAATATAACTAAGTAGAATTTTTCAGGTGCTTAAAGCAGGGGAACTAGGAGCCATATAATAAAAAGCATCGTTTCACAAACCTTTTTCTTTCAATTTGTTTAGTTTCAGTTTGTTCTGCATTGCTTGGTTATTTGAGAGGTCATAAGGAGACATTTGAGAGTTTTGTTATTCCTCTAAATTAAAGATGACAATGTATTCCACCAGTTAGGCTTGAGTAAATATTTCTCCTTCTCTTGAAAATGTGCACTTTTAAACTTAAATATTTTCACTTTACCCTGAATAACTATAGAACTGGGCTTATCAGCATGAGCTATGCTACATAATCTTTGCATTATGTAGCCGCGTACACCTTGATTGCATGGTAAAACAAGCCAAAGGTTTGCAACAGTTTCACAGATGCACTTGTTTACATTGAAGAATTAAGGAACAGGATTTTTGGCTGAAAGTGGGAAATAACAAATAATGCTCCATATTTCTTATGATTATTCATATAATAAAGTTTAGTTAGATAGGTGGGTGGGACCCGTGTGCTACTAGATTCTTTACCCACAGCTCCATTAATTTTATTATTTGATTATAACTCACAAACCTTTGATATGAAGTTTCTCAGAAAATTATGACATTACATAAGATGCATTCAAAAGTCTTTGTATTACAGAAATATATTCTACTAAAGATTTGTTAAATTTATATGTTGTTTAGTGTATCCATTCAGTATATTGTCTTTGCAACAGCTTTTCTTCTCTTTTTCTACAAATGCTGCAATTATTCACTTGTGTACCTTTTCCCTTCCCATTTTTTCCTTCAACTCAATTTTCCCTGAAATACAGCACTTTGTGAACACTCAGCTTTTTTTTCTACCGATTACTTTTTGCGGCTAACTATCCACATAACGTGTGTTTTTCAGTGTGTACAGGATAACCATGAAGTCAGCAGTCTTCCAAATGATTGTGTAATTTATACCATGGCTGTTTCCTGAAAAGCTGAAGTATTTATCAGCTGCCAGTTATAGTCTTAAATATTACCAGAAAAATCTGTAGAAACTTTCTGTATAATTTTTTTACTTTTCGAATTAGTAATTTTTCTTATCGATAATACTTTTCTGATTTTCCTGTACATTGGTTTAATTTTCTAGTTATTCTAAAGGACGGAAAGTTGGAAATCCTTTAGTGGTCAAACATTCAAATAACTACATAACAAGTATATTTGTGAAATTAATTTACCAAGAGTCACTTTTGGACTTTAATTTAATTTTGTATAATTTCTGAAATTCTTTCAAACTAGAAAACTAAGAATCCCGATTTTTCTTTAACATGTAGAATTCAAGTGTCCATCCTCTGCAGGAAATCAGATCTCAAGGTCCACCTCCAAGTTTCTGCTACCTACTGTCGGGTCAGCAGAGTTCAGTTGAGGTCACTCAAGGGCAAACGAGTTCACCACTGTACCTTCAACCCAGACAGCAGACCCTACGAGATATACTGCAGGTGGGAACTTTATCTCAGCAGTCACACTGGACCATTTGCATATACAGTTTTAATATATACTAACTCTTTTCTCCTTCAGAGCAAGACACAATCCTGTAGCTGCAGTTTTATTGCCACGGTTTTATATAAGAGAATGCAGGTATTTCTTCCACTTCACTTAAAACCATGTAAAAAATGTACTTATTCTCACTTTAGTAACAGAAAAGAGTAAATATTGGGTTTTCTGTGGCCCTCATTCATCTTGCTAAGATTATTTAAGCTAGCAAACTGATAAGGTTGAACTCTGACGTAAAGAGTAGTGCGCCTATCACTCTGTTTGGCCATCAGTACGAAGCCAGGCCATTCCTCATCACTGATTGGTGAGAACTTTAACCTTTGAACAACATGAGATAGCAGCTCAGATCAAAGTGCTGGACTTTAGCACACATTCACACCACCTTCCCATGTTATCTCCCTAGTTAACCAGCATTGTGTGCAACCTCTTTAATGAGTGATCTTGTCAATGGAGTTATTTTTTAAGGTGTGGATAGCCATCTTATTTCTACTTTGTAAGGTTTTGTCACGTAATATTTCCTTTAAATTCTCTTTGTAGGTCATTGTGTTTCTAAGTAATTCATTTCTGCCTTTGTGTGCTGTTCTGGTTCGACTTCAGAGCAGCGATGTAGGCCAGAGGGAGGTGTGGTTGGTGCTGACAGACCCCAGTCTTCAGGAGGAGCAGTCGGAGAGACCGTGCAGGCGAACAGTGGCTCTGTGTGTGAGCACTTCCTGTGTGCTCACTTCCTCTGTCCTCGAAGCACTGAATTCCCCTGCTGTCTGTAACATGTCGTTCAGAGATGCCATCAAAGAACATGGTAGTAGTGTTGTGACCTATCCATGTTAATGTTTCAAAGCACAGGATTGTGTGTACAAGTTGGGAGAAATCTGGAAGATTTACATTTATGATCAGATTTGTGACAATTTTATTGGTTTTAACAACAAAAAAGGCTGTATTACTATTAACTGATACATTTATTAATGTGTTTTATAATGCTACAGCTACTTCAGGGGAGTTTGAGCTATAAATAGAGTCAATACACTGTATAAAAAGTCAAAGAAAAAGAAAATTAAAGGAGTTTATTGAAACAATCCCTCAAGACATCAGTCATGAAGTTAAAGCCGGGGTACAAGTTGGTTCCACCACAGGACAATTACCTCAATCACACCTCTAAGACAACAAAAACAATGTTTGAGGCAGGGCTAAAAATGTGATGCAGTTAAAATTGTTCCATCAAAAGGGTCTGGTATCCAGCAAACTCTTTGATGTTTCTGGAGGAATATCTACGATTATACAGCTGCAAAAGGCAGATTTACTAAAATTGCATAAATACTTCAACTAATCAACAAAATTAAGCAACTTTGGTCATTCTAACTGTCCTGCAGCAGGGACATTTTTTGTTAGATAAAAAAACAAACAAGAAAAACAAGTTTTGTGTCTTTTTATTCAGTCTATGCAAATATCTAGTTCAGGGGTGGGCAATTCCAGTTCCTGGGGGCCAGTATCCTGCAACTTTTACATCCATCCTGGGTCCAACACTCCTAAATCAAATGGCTCAATTATCTCCTTAGTATGTAGTCAGTTTCTCCAGAGTCCTCTCAATCATCTAATTACTTGATTCAGGTTTTTTGAACCAAAGGCACATCTAAAGGTTGCAGGATACCGGCCCACAGGAACTGGAATTGCCTACCTCTGATCTAGTTTTAGGTAAAATTCCAGGCACTCTTGTTTGGAGAACAAGAGTGCGGCTGAAGCACCTAGAGGATGGATCAAACTAGTTAAGCTGAGTTGATAATTAGGTATAACAATCACAACAAAATCTTTTTTTAGAAAATGGCACTTCAATTCAATCAATTTATTTATAGAGCAGCAATCTACAATATGTCATCTCAAGGCACTGTATAGAGACAATTCAACCAGAATTTTTAATCAATCGACTGTATGATCTAAGGAAATCCAGCTGATTGCATGGTGGAGGTATTACCTTTCCAGGATTTGCTCCTCCTAGATGAGCACGTGATGATAGTAGATATTCATTTGCATTGTTTTGTTGACATTATAGTAATCATTCACACCCACCATGCGTGCAATAACAGTAGGAGGAAAAACTCCCTTTTAACAGGGAGAAACCTTCAGCTAAGCCAAGCTCAGTGAGAGCAGCCTTCTGTTGAGGCTGAATGGGGGTTTAATGAGAGAGAAACAAACAAACAAAAGGAACATAGAAGCACTGATCTATAAATATTTTCTATGTTAGAAAATATAACTGTCGACCAGCTCTTTAGGTAGCTCTTTCTTGGAAACAAACAGTTAAGCAGACAAGTTCTGAGAAAGTTTCATGTCAAAAGGGAAGAGGTAAAGAGCAAATACAGATAGTCACAGTCAAAGCTGAAATTATTGCTATGTCTAAGAGAGAAACAGGAGAAAACACTTAAAAAAAAAAAAAAAAACAGGCCAAACTCTATGATCTGTAAAAGAAGTTGTTGAGAGCAGCATCTCAGCTGATGAGCTCCCCACCCTCCCAAGGATAGTGTCACAGCTCAATAGATCACCAGGCCAGAGGTCGCTACTACCCACCTGTGTGAAACGCTTGCCAACATTTTCAACTTGATGCGTCTTGATGTGTAATCTGTATCATTTTTTAAAGAAACAGTTTCCTAATTTTAAATATTTTTATTTAAGGACACATTTTGCAGGATTTAATTCCTAAACATCAGTTTGAAAGTTAGAAAAGTTCTTGTTGAACTGATTATCATTCGATCAGATTTGTGTCTTTTTAACACTTGGTTTTAATCCAAAACAAAGCTTATTCTTCTCTGGAAGAATCAATAGAAAATCTACTTTAGTAGATCCTTTCAAAGCCTGCTGCACCCCACCTTATCACACAGTTTGACTTTGAGCAAGCAATGACGTGTAGCTGCTGTGACAGTGCCATCGTTATGATTTTATTGCTGAAAATCTCAACTTTTCATTCTCACAACAGGAACTCACTTTGATTCAAAATCAGCTGGTAAATCATGGAACACATTTTGTGCTGCAATATCATAGGTTTGTGCTGCTGTAGGGAAAGCACACACAAAAAGTGAACAGAGAAAAGGAAGAAAACAAATTTTAAAAACTCCAGGAAAATTTAGTTCTGGAAGATTAAACATTCCAAGTCCCGTATTCAGAGTTTCCCTGAGTTTGAAAGAGGAACAGTCCAGGATTTAAAACTGCCATGGCTGGAATATAATGTGGGGACTATTAAACATGCAAGATATATTCACACAAACCAAGCACAAAACCATATTTTTGATCTAGAAATAACCCTGTCCTTACACAAGGCTCTTCGCTAACTTTAATTGACATGCCCTGGTTTGAAACAATAGTGTTAAAATGATGTCCCGATTTCTTCTATCAGGTACAAAGCTCAGAGTATGCTAAATAAATCAGTCAGATGAATACTTACTTTCTTTTCTTTTATACATTTGATCAGAGCAAATAAACTTCAAACTACATTTTCTGGAAAACTTCAGGGAGCTGATGTTACTCACCGGATGCACATTGACTTGTGCAACTTCTTATTTCCCCAAATCTCTGCAACCTAGCAAAGTTAGTTTGAAACAAACGACCTCAAAAGCCACATTTATGGGAAATATTGAAGTTTCATTTAATAGAGTAATGCGATAAGCAAAAATCGTTCCTTCATTTTATTTGAAAGGTTAAACAGCAGTTATTTACGTTTGGTTAAAGTATTCAGATTTAAATGTAAAGGCCGACAGTGGTTTGGAAAACTATTGTTCCTTTAATGCATTTTTTAATCCAGGTTTGCATTAATGTAAAAGCTGTTTGCTTTGGTTCATTGTTTTTGTATTATTGCAGATTTGATGAAATCTTAGTTGTTTGTTGGTTGTTTGCAGTAAAGTGTATTTGACTCATTTTCATATTTAGGTGTGCTCCTCTGTGCGGAGCAGTCTGTCATTGAGGTAAAACAAGAGAGCAGTATAGGGACCACTACAAGGCGAGACCTGCTCTCCCAGTGCCTCGCTGAACCCCAGGTGAAGACCCTGCCCCAGCCTCATAGACTGGATTCCTTGAGCATGGAGACCACACCCAACTCCCTCTGCACTCTCACAGGTTTGTCTCAGCCTCTCTCACAGTTCTGTGGTTTTCCATGCAAGTCTTCTCATTTGGTTTCTGCTAAGCAGGCCTGACTTCTCTGTGGGAAAACAAAACAAAAAAATTAGATTTTTATGTTTTTGCAAGTTTACAGCACCACAAAAGTCTTTGATGTTTCCGCCAGACTCTGTGATTTCTGCTGTTCAGTATTTGTCCTCAGGGTGTCATTGTGTGAGACAATGTAAATTAAAACCTCAATGGAATATAATAAAATTTGCTTCTATTCCCACATTATTTTGCAGGAACATGAACATGCATACCCCCTAATGAATCTGAACATCTGTTACAATTACTTAGATTTCATTAAATCTTCAGTCTTTTTTTGGATGCAAACAGTATTACGTTTTTATGTTTTTTACTTTATCAACTGCTCATAAATAATACAAAAAAAGATTTTCTAATATGTTGCAGTCTTCCTACTCATCTGCTTCGAATCCTACAGAAAGCAGCATAGAGTCTTACTCTCTTGATGCTTTCTAATTATGTAAATGTGGTTTCGAAGCCTGCTGCAGATAATAATCTGCATCTGCTGCCTTCATGTCACATCTGAGAGCAAAGATCACATCATGAACCCACTCGGCTCTGGCCTCTCTGGCCGCCCATGTTTGATCAGGTGGTCCAAAGAAAATAAAACACACTGTTTGCACTTGTGCACAAATGTACCTTCTGGAAATTATGAGCAAAGCGAGTAAAACAAGCTAATAAAAAAAAAGTCGAGTAATTTCTTATCAGCGTTTGTTTTTGGTATCCTGTTTAAGGCTCCAAGTTTGCAGTGGTATGGCAGCAACAAGTTTTTTTTAAGACGGGGAACACATTTCTGCTGCTTTTAATCGCTGCCATCTTTGATAAATTTGAAAAGGATGCTGTTATCTCTTACACCCTCTCATAAACATGTAGATCAAATGTGTAGATCGTCTATCAGTGTTCCTCTTGTTTCATTTTGTACAAAAATGTAATGTAGGTTTATTTGAAGAAAGATTGAAACCATTAATTGGCCACAGGTGTTGATTGATTCAACGTTTTGCTTCTGTTTATTAGGGGTTATTGTTGGTGTAGATGAAAATACAGCTTACTCCTGGCCAGTTTGCAGTCTCTGTGGAAGTGACAATTTGGAGTTGTCAGCGGGAACACCGTAAGTTTTTATTTACGAGCCCAACATCATGCCTATCACATTGGCAGCTTTTGACTGTTTTTGTGTCTCTTCCCACAGTCAAACATTTTACTGTATCTCCTGTAAATTGATGTTGGACAAGCCAGAAACGAAGGTTCAGCTGGAGGTCTTCCTCAGCTCCTCCTCACTGAGCAACTGCACCTTAAAGGTTAAGGTGGGAACACTGAAGAGCTTGAGTCAGAAATATAAATGGAGTTGGTTCAAATGAAAAGAAATGGCAACCGTCAACATGGTTTGGGTTTGAAAGCAAAAAGTTCTAAATTAGGGAAGCCTTCTGCTTTAGTCCACACAAGCATAAAACCAAGCGGCCATCTTTGACATGACTTGGACATGATCCAAATTGGCATGACCTGGAGGGAAAAAAAACAGAATTAATCTTTTAACCTATAAGTCTACCATTGGCCTTTTTGCATTTCCTATACATTTATTTGAACACTTAGAGAAACGTTCAGCAAACCTTATTGGTAAGTTTCAGCTATTATCTAAAGTATAGTTCTAGATTAACAGGGCTCCATTGGTTTTTCTGAATAATCAGGCATGGATTTTATTTTAAGTAATGTTAAAATTGGTCAAACAAAAAACTTTTCAATACTTGGGGTATGAAGAACAGCTTTGACCGAGATGAGAGGTAAAGGCCCAATTAATCAACTAATTATAGATTCTTAACTATCTCTATATTTTATCCATAAGTTTATTTTGAGTTGTTTCATGAAGCATAAGAAAAACAAATCCAATGGATAAATTGGATACGGTATTTTTGTAATTAGTCCAGAAAAGCTGTTTTATAAAAACGATATTGTTTATTTGCAAAGGGGGTGCAGCCTGTAAAAAAAGAAGCTCACCCATAAGGACTCCTAATAACTAAAATTTCTCTTCCATGTAGTTGTCTGTATGGCCCCAGTTGGGTTCCTGCTAAGGTTTGTTCCAACCGATATTCATCAGTCCAACACATTGCAATGGATGTGATATTCATAGGCAAAGACAGGCGCACCTCCAGAGCGTATCTATATACCCCTGGTAATATGTTGACCACCTGCAGACACTGCTGAAACGTAAACATTTCATCCACTGGGGATCATTTCCTCTTCCAGTTGTTCTGTCTAAGTTATGAGACATTAAGTTTTTAATTGTTATCTGAGTGTGCAGCTTTTTTTTTTTTTTTTGTTGTTGTTTCACTTTGGAATTTTTGTGATATAAAAAAAAAAATCCGTAATGGACTAAGCGGCCTGTAAACACACTTAAAAAAAGCTGCCTCTCTCTGTTTCTGGTTCTGCTGTTGAGGGGAAAAAAAGTGTGTTGTCTGGTTTGGATCGGTTCTTTCTTTCTGTCTCAGGTTTAAGTGGATAAATTGCTACTGCACGGTGGCACCAGTAACAGCATTTTTTTTGTGGGTTTAACTTAACCTATAGGTCCAAAAAAAAGAAAAAATGTTAAAAATCGCCTTTTAATAAACGAACGTTGAAGAGCTTAGTCTGTCTTCAATGGATAGATTAGTCCTATTGCCCAAGCTTAGTTCCTGCCTTCTATTTACACAAAATTTCCATCTTAAAATCTGTAAAGCCATTTGACATAAGGCGGTTGGTGCTCACAGGTGTTGCTAATCTCATCAATTAAAGCACTTTCGGTTAATAAGACAGAACCTTTAATGTAATTTGTAACACCTGCGTTAACCCTCTGTTTGATGTCAAAATGGCTTCTGCAATGAGGAGGTGTGTTCGTTTCCGCCACCATAACAGCTCAATGTGTGCTGGCTGTTTTCTGTCACCTGCGGTAAAACGGTCAGGTTATTTTTCTTTTTATGTTTCCTAATTTAGTTTAAACTGATTTTGAAAATGTAGTGAGGCAGCTTATTCAAACTGTTGCCGCCTCTAAAATGGACTTTGATCTGAAAGCTGATTGTAGATGTCAATGAAATGAAACTAGGGATCAGTAAGGATGTACTGATACACCCTGATACTGAAATTATTAATTACATTATAATTTTTTAAGTGTTAACCAATACAGATATGGACCCAATACCAAATCAGCATGAGTCATTCATAATTTTATTGTTTTTTTTGCTGTGTGGGATATTAGAAAAGCTATGATCCAGGGATATGACTTGAATAGAGACATTGTTGAAACAATAGGTATGAGAAAATATATTTTTAATGAATGGATTAACGTAAACTTTGAACAGAGGGAGAGTTTAAATTAGCCTGCTTGCATTGCAGATTTGAGATGCGGATGGATAAATGTCGAAATCAGTTTTTTTGGCTACCATCCGAAAGATTTCCATAATTAATATCTACTCGGGACATCCCTAAATTCTTTTGCATCTCTGTGTTTAGTAACGTTGGCTTGCTAAAAAGGCAAACCTTCACACAAATGAGACCAGAGTTTTCCATAGAGGCTGCAAAAAGCATGATAGTTTTATTTAAAAAGCTACTTATTATAATTTATCTTCTGATGCTACACCAGCATTACCATTCACATTGTGGCTGTTACTCTAACTAATGCTTCTGTTGCTGTATTTTATTTTTTATTTTTTTTTCAGTTTAAGTGAGTGGTGTTGTCGTAATTTGGGTGTGGTGGTGACATATTCTCTACTAGAGTTTAATTCATCTTTATCCCTAACTTATCTGCTGTATTCATTGGTCTTCCTCCCCATTTGTTCACTAATGTCAAATAAACTTCTTAGGTCCTTACAGAACAGCTGTATACTTGCAGGGACTAAATCACCTGGACGCTAGTAATTGGATGGCTTTTTGAAGGCCGTCCATTGCACTGGCTTTTATTTATGGATATATGAGTAACTAACCTGAATACAGAAGTACAATACTCTTTAGATTTTATTGTTTTTCGGTTTCCTTTATTGCTCTACAAGAAATGTAGATTAAAAATTCTCTTATTACAGTACAATAGCAAATATATTTATTTTGCGTATGACAGAACCTTTTCCTTGTTCAAAGAAAAATAAATGTTTTATTACATTATTTAGATAAAAACCTTTGACCAGAGGGCCATCTCTACTGATCTATGCACTGAATCATTTCATGTTTCCTGGTTCCCTCTTTATAAATCTCACTCATAAATGTTATGAGTGATGTTATGAATTATGTTCTGCACTGCGAAACAAAGTCCTGATATGTGTACATTTTTGCAACTGTTAATTAATCATAGAGAACTTGGTGTGGCTGAGATCAGAAACGTTAAGTGAGACAACCAGTAAAAGTTATCAGTGATCTTATCTGCCTGCTCATATTGTAAACCCTGTTCCAACCATAAACCAGCAGAGACCACAGCCTGTTTGTGCAGCAGTTTTCATTTTAATTTACAATGCAGAGGGAACAATTAAAAAGGCATTACTGACTCTGAAATATTCTAATCTTCCACATAGTTGCAGCAAAAGACCATCATGTCCATCCTGAACACGCCCACATTAGAAAGCAATGAGGTAAGTCTACCTATCAAACTGTTATATAAGTCTGAGCTAAGATAAAAGGTACATTCATTTTTTTTTTTATGTCAATATGTCCTTAATGCACAATCATCTGTTCCTGTCACTGGGATAAAGCTCCTCTTTGAGAGCTGGGTTGGTTATTGACAATATTCTCTGACAAATTAAAAACACAATCCTCCTCCCTTTCTTTTGTTTGGAGGATTTTGAGTTAGCATGATGTTATTTGTTGCTTACATAAACTGTAGGTGGAGGAGCATTTCTTAATCAAATGCTATCTTATCTGTTTGCATGAATGCCCTTCATGCTAAAAGTGCAACTAGTTCCCAATAAAATGTTTACTTGGTTGATGTATTGCAAAGATTATATGCATGCTTTATTAGGATGTGCAACATTTATATAGGCTTGCATGAAATGAATTCTAAGAGATTTGCATGATTGATCTCTCCCTTCAGCTCCAAGGGTACGATGTGGAGAGCGTCTTAGGAAAAGAGGTGGGTCCTATCCCCGTTTATGTCAGAGTTGTCACCAGGAAGCCTGCCCTCTGGATGGGCCTGGAAGAGGTCTGCCTCGGCTGCTGATAGCAATCCTCAGACTTTGGCTGGCTCCAGCAATCTGCACACTGGGCCTTGGTCTGAGCCAGTTTATCCTCCACTCCCCCTTCCGAAGGCCTCCTCTGACAGCTTGAGGCTGTTCTGAAAAGAAGGGGGCCACTAAAAGACAAGGTCTTGTTTGTGTTAATGATATGTGATCCTGTGCAGCAGGAGTTGACAGCCTAGGGGTAGACCAGTGGCATGCGGGCTGTCAAACCAGCCCATGTGGATCATTAACTGTGCAGAGCCTGAATTTGGACTTAAACTTTCAAACAACCTATGTATTAAAAATACTGACTGTCAATAAAATGGGTTATTTATGCTGACTTTGCCTTCTGCTTCCTGTTGCATTTCCTTTTAACACAAATCATACAGACTGCTCACAGACCACAAGCTTTTCACGTTATCATTCTTTCTTTATTACAGATTCATGAACACGTTTAAAGGTTTATACAAACTATTATAAAAGATCATGCTCTGGCTCTTATACAAAGTTAGAAATTATAAAACATGTACCATATCAGGTATGACATGTAAATGCAGTGGTAAAATAATTTAATACAGAGAAACATCCCACAAAAAAATATGGCAGCAACAACATTATTTTCCAGTGCCATTATGGTAAGCTTAATACATCTGGTACAGATGGTAAAGACAAGAGTCTGCTGAGGTATGTCTTCTAAAAGTCTCAGTTCCTAGAAGATCCAAGGTGTCACCGGCTCTCTGCGCTGGCTGAGCTCGGGAACGAGGCGTTGGGCATCTGTTTGAAGAACTCCCTCAGCCCGGTCAGTTCCCTGGTTAGCTGCTCGATTGTTTTGTGCAGTTTGTCGTTCTCGTTGCTCAGTTCGATCATTTTCTGCTGCATCTCCAAGTTGCGCTTCTTTGCCTTGTCCCTGCTTTTTCGCACCGCAATGTTATTCCTCTCGCGCCTCTGCCGATACTCCACGCTGAGCCGATCCACCGCCTTCTTCCCCTTCTCCCTGCCGATCTTCCTCGGGGACGGCCTGGCGGACACAGGCTCCGGGGTGGTCGGAGGAGTCGGCTGCCCCGTCAGGAGGCTGACCGAAGTCTGGGCGCAGGTTTCGATCTGGGAGGGTAAGGATGAGGACACGTCGCTGTCGCTCCAGTCGGACTCCTGCTTGATCGGCGCGCAGAACGCCGCCTTCTCCGGCGCGCCGTCCTGCTTGGAGTAGACTGTGGACAGCTGCAGCTGCTGCTGCTGGGGGCCGCCGGGCAGCACCGCGCTCTGCAGGTTGTAAAAGTCCGGCCTCTCCTGCTTCACGGTGTTAAACAGGTCGAGGAAGAGCTCGTCGTTGCACAGCTCCAGGTTTGGCACCGACGTCATGGATTCGATGTACTGACTGAAGTCGATGGCGCTCTCATCGTCGTACATGGCTGGGTTGGTGGTGCTCAGCTCCACCATGGTGCTCTCCTCTCCTGCGCCGTCAGTCCTGCTGCCCGGCTTGCAGCCCCCCTGCTGCGGCCCCCCCAGCTTGCTGCTCTCATAGAAGTTAGCAGGCTCCATCGCCCAACTCATGTTGCATTGTGGGGACACGCAGTGAGAGTCCAGGCTGTATATGTCACACATGAACTCTGCTGGTTTGTCCACGTGGTTAGAGAATAAAAATAAACTTTTTTTTTGTAGGAAAAAAAATAAAAAAAGAAAGAAAGTCACTGAGTAGACCACTCAGTCGGACGCCACCGCTGCAGGTCCTGAAGTAAAATCAAATGTTAGCTGGATTCGCTGACTGTCAGCGCGCTGTCAGTGGGACCTCTGGACTGTCACTTCTCTAAGAGCAGCTTTACTTTCGCGGAGTGTTTTGTATCCTTCCCCGCTGACGTCACGCACAACCGCCCTCTTAAGAGCCAGTCAAACACGGGTCACGTGGTCTGTGGGTAGGCAGGGGGCGAGTCGCTCATTCCTCCCACTTTTTACTATGAGCGTATGAATGGTTCAGAGTTGTTTACATAGTGCAGGATGTGCTCTGGCTGTTGGGAACAGGATTAAATTTATCATGATGGGCACAAGGGTCCAACTAGAACATTGGCAGATGACTTATTCAGTAGTAAAAAAATAAAAAAAATATTTCTACGTTATAGACACTAAGAAAAAAATAGAAAAACAGTGTGCATGTTTTACTCTGGATAAGAGGAACATTCCTAAAGAAGACATAAGATCCCCTTAATCTCTTTGTCCATTCATGCTTTTACCAATCAGCAAAACATCTTCACTCACTTTAACTTCATAAAAAAATCACTTTGATTTACAACCGAGATGCAAAATGTGCTTTCATTTAGTAGACTTGCTAGTTTATTTTCTTCTTTCTTTCTTTACACTATTCTGAAGTGGCGTACACAAGGAATTCACCACTTTCAGCTCATATCCTGATCACTAATGTTCGGTGGATCTTCAAGCAATATCCACACCTTTTGACTCTCCCCAAAATTCTTGAATTACCCTTTTGCTTCCACTTATTTTTTTTATTAATAGGCAAGGCAAATGTATTTGTATAGCACAATTCAGTACAAAGACAATGCAAAGTGATTTACCTGATTAAAATATAGGAAAATAAAACACAATCAAAGCGATAATAATATCCTTGAATACAGCAACAACCAGCCACTGTAGTTAGAACCTGCCCTCCTTGTCCTCCATTATTTAAAAAAAAAACTGACAAGGTAGAACTGTAAACATACAGCCATATGTTTATATTTATTATGTTTTTATATATTTTACTGTTTTTCAAGGCTGCACTTGCAAAAAAATTTTTTATTGTCTAGAGAGCTTTTCTTAACAAAATTTCTTTTTGTTTTACACTTGTGTAAACAAAATGACAAATAAAGCTTTCTAAGTCTTGTGTGGTCAATAAATTTGCTGCAAAACTCTTTTAAATGATTGTGTAGGGGTGACACAATACTCTTCACAATAATATCATGCATTTCATATGATTTATGATTTCTGTATCAATATACCTCTATTAGATTGCTCTATTTAACATATACATTTTTAGAAAACATTTTGTTTGATTTTCTTTGATCCATCATGCATTAAAATGAAATTGAAATTAAATAATAGCAAAGTGTTGAATGACTCTTTGCAATAAACAAGTAAAAGGTTTAATTTGAAAAACAGATACATATTGAATGTTCGAAATAATTTAAACGCACTCTGATCGTAAACAAGACTGTAATCAATAAAGAAAATCGGTTCAGAGGAACTTGAGATAGAAAGACGATGTTCCTTCCTGTCTAATGTCTAATGAAGACGACAGTAACATTGTGAAGAATTTCAACTGACAAAGAAGTCAAAGGTATAATTGCAAATTGGTGGTTGTCACTTTGTGAAATACACCTGCTGAAGGAATTCAGGGTTCTGCACGTTAGACAAGATTTGGTAAGTTCCATACATGAAGAGGCAAGGGGGGTGTTTCTCATGCTACTTGTTTATTATTGTTACAGTGGTCTTATGATGGTGGGATGTTAGAATACAACAGGATTCCTGGATGTTTGGAAGAGATGTTTAATGAGGATCGTTTACAAGGAAAGGAAAGATACTACACACTACAGGTACAACTAAAAGTCTGGCATTACGATGAGAGAAGTAACAGCATCAGAAGTACAGGTAACCTCTGGTATTGTTTTAAGTATTCCTATTGTGGGGAGAAGTCCGGGAATAGAGCTTGGAATCCTGAGTTTCTGAGTTCGAGCCTCACTCCCACAGACTGCCACTCTGGGGCTCCGAGCATGACCTTTAACCCCTGACTGCTCCCCGGGCGCCTCACAATGGAAGCCCTCTGCTCCCCAGAGGGGATGGGTTAAATGCAGAGGTAAATTTCTCCAACGTGAGGCCAATAAAGTTAAATTATTATTAAGAAATTATAGCTTCCTGAAATTTCAAATTGGAGACACACCCAATCTAGAAAATTCTCAGTGCCATTTTTATTCAATTGTTAAACAACTTCCAATAAAAATATTTGGTCATGTAAACATGTTACCAGTAGATACCTTAGCAAGTGAAAGCAAACTAAATAAGTTTGAAGTATTTTGGTGTGATTCACATAAAGGAGGCATTGCGTTAGATGTGGCTAAAATGTGATAAAAGACGTGTTTTTGTTCATCTTTTATGACCAGTGGTGTCTCTGGGAGGTGCCCTTAAATTGCACATGGACTGAGGCTTCTCGGAAATGTTTCTAGTGTTTTCCACTTAGGAAGTTTGTTGTGGTACTTTTCCTCTCACCTCTTCGTCAACAGCGGGGAAACTGCGCCTCCTTGTGGCCAAAGGATGTATTTGCGGGATGTTTCTGTAGTATCAACCCTACTGTGCACATTTATTGTATCTGAAAAACTCAGACATTTTTTCATATACAAAATATTTTTAAACAACAAAATATATCAACTTAAAAAGTACATTTCTCTGTTTTATCTGTTTAGGTGATTACAAAGAAACAAAAAAAGCTGTCATATGTGGACGCACTGTATTGTATTTATCCCTGCAACTTTTTCTTCCTTTGGCACATTGTTCTTGTTTGACTATTTGAGCTGATGTAACGAGTAAAGTTCTCCTCTGTGAGATCAATTAAGTCAATTAATCAATCAAACTAAAGTTAATACATACAGAGAAAGAGAGGGAGATGGCCAGATTTTAGTCTGGGGGCCATTACCCATAATTGGTCAGCAATTTTCCCCCATCAGCTGTGAGGATGGGAGGATGATAACCCATGAAACATTCTTTGGTTTATTCTTGGTGTTATTTTTTATTTTATTTATTTATTTTTATTTTTTTCAAAAAAATTTAAATGTTCCCATGCCTACAGAGCCGAGAGCTTTTGAGTAAGGGCCCACTCAAATGATTTTAAAGCATTAAAGTAGGTATGTGAGGCACATGAAACAAGGAATTACACCACTATGAAAAAAAAACAAAAAGCAAAGAAACAGCAGAGATCAAATAGACAATGTTTTAAAAGTGAGACGTTTAATGAGCTGCATATGCGGAGATAGCTTTTTGATCTACGGGTTTTGTAATATTGCTCACTTGCAAAGAAAAAAACAAGGAGTCAATTTGTTTTATGTGATTATTCATTTTGATATGGAGGGGGCATATCAATTACAAAGAAATCAAATCAAGAAAAAAAAAAAAAGCTCATGCCAGAAATGAAAGATTCCTCCAGCAAGACATGATTGTCTAATTTGTTCTACATGTCTTAAAGTTGGACATAAAAGTATTCAACCATTCCAATCATTCAAATAAAAAAAACTTGTGTATTAAGAAGGTGATTCCTAAGGTTT